CTACAAAAATGACAATAACTTTGTGTTGTTTGTCGACTCTTCTCCAGGTTTTGATTTTCGGTCGGTATATGTATCTCGTGTAAAATACGTGTATGTTTGAAAACGCAGAGTTCCGGACGATATTGTGTTGTGTCTTTAGGACAATGTTTATCAAAGTGTCGAACGGATTGTGCTCTCTCCACGTTAGTCATTTTTGATATGATATCATTATATCTCAAGTTAAAGTGTTTTTAACCAACAAATGAAATACTCTTTAGATTGAAGTGTGTGTGTCAGGTTAGTGTGACTTGTAACCGTTTCTACTTAAACTCTTTATATGAATGTTAAATGTTCTTCACCTAATTCTTTCCATTTCGTTTACATTAGTAGTCTGTGTGTGGTGTTGTGTGTGTGTGTGTGTGTGTGTGTGTGTGTGTGTTTTTGTGTGTGTTGTGTGTGTGTGTGTGTGTCATGTGTTGTGTGTTGTGTTGTGTGTAAGTAAGTTTAATAAAACGAACCATGTTATAATGAAAACGTATTCACCGATTACGGAATTGTTCGGACACTAGGCGGTATAAATTATGTGTGTGTGGGTGCGCATATTCCTTTGTGTGTGTGTTGTGTGTGTGTGTGTGTGTGTGGTGGTTGTGTGTGTGTCTTTTTTGTTGTGTGTTGTGTGTGGACATAAGTCGTGTTAGTTAACAGCCGATCGGCACAAGGACACACTTACAGACCTAACTACTTTCCTATACTAATTTAGTCAGTCACTCCACACACACGTGGAAATCTGTGACTGTGGTTGTGAACGAAATTCTTCTCACGGTGGGTGTAATTGAATTAATGTGTGTAATGTGTGTGGTGCTGTGTGTGTGTGTGTGTCTGGTGTCTGTGTCTGTGTCTGTGTCTGTGTGTCTGTGTTGTGTGTGGTGTGTGTGTTGTGTGTTTGTGTTTTGGTGTTGTTGTGTTTTGTGTGTGTGTTGTGTGGTGTGTGTGTGTGTGTGGTTTGACTAGGGAGGATTATTTTGAGTACAGGAGAGTGAAGAGGATCAACTCTAACATTTAACTTTTCGTTTAGGGGGTAGTTTGGTTAGGGACCCCCAGTGTTGTCCGTCGCGTCTAATGTCTGTGTCACATGGTCTGTAACCACGGTTGTGTATTATTTAGTAACTCTTTCGTAACTTCACTGTGTCCTCCATTCAAAGTTCGGTCTGTTTGTGTAATTCTCGCCTTTCCTTGGATGGTTCCGGATTGTCTATGTGTGTGTCGAGGACCACCGTTTCAACAGCATTCAAGCACTCGTGTCATTGGTGTGTTGGTGTGTGGGTCTGACCGTTGTATTACGTTAATGTGTAATCCGTGGTACCTAGGTTCATAGACAGGCAGTAAAAGGTGGATTTATATAGTATAGTTTTTGTTATTCAGTTTACTTACGTATAAGTATGTGTGTGTATGTGTTGGTTCTGTATTTGGACGTACATAAGCGATACCGGTCGTCCCCCGCTGAGGAACTGCAGTCTAACTTAATCTGAGAACTGTCCTTTTACTGGGTTGAAAGAGGATACTAAATACCGGACTTATCTTCAGAAAATGCCAACTGTTCAAACTTAAAAAAGTTCAGAGGAATTTTGCACCACTTTTCGCCTCGACTTTTCAAGAGTGTCCGATGTACTGACAATCGGTTGTACAATGGAATCAACGATTGTGTTTTCACTTCTATTTCCACTTAAGTTGTACCAGTTAAATAGAGGAACAACTCGCATTTCGTACCTCAAATTGTTCAATAATATCTTTGAGCCACCACTAAAAGGTTTGTCATTTTTGTTAGGGGGCTTTTTTAAGGTGATTTTTCTAGACTTTAGCAGCTTTACTCTTAGTTAGATCGATATTAAAGGTGGGGTAGGTAAGTTTGAGAAACCGGCTCGAGATACTTTTTGTTATATTCCATGGAATGCTCTTAACATCCCGACAGCAATGAATATCTTAAGTGCTTTGACAAAAAATCCATTAAAAAATGTCATCTGTGGAAGCCATAGCGCTGTAAAAAGCACGACCAATCATTTTAGCCGGCCTGGGTAAAATAACTGGATGGCCTACCTGCCTGTCAGCCTTCCATCTGTGCACAAACTTATCTCGTGCCCTCATTGGTCATGTGCGCGTTCTTGTGTGTTGGAGGAGGGGCTCTGTAAGGAAGTGGCAGATTTTTTCCGGTTGTTGCAAATCCTATCGCACTCGAGCTGGTTTCTCCAAAATGACCTACCCCACCTTTAATTTATCAAGAGCAATAGTAGTTAACTATATTTTGGGATTTCTGGTTTTCAACCATTTCTTGAAAATCAATTAAACAATTACTTGAACATGCAGATTAAAAATAAACATTAGTCACAGACTTATTTTTGTATGCCATAAGAAGATACACAATACACAAATGCAAGCCATTTATTTATGAATGACATTTGATATGATCAATATCTTGATTGCTTTAAGAATGTTTTGTAGTTGGCAATATGTACACAACCTCGTCTTACTTAATGACTTATTAGTTTCAAAGACCTCTCTGGCTTCTTTACTTGCTAAAATGAGTGCTTGGTTTTAAAGTGTATTCATTCTGTGGGTTAAATATGGAAGAGCATTCCACTGATTCATAGCTTAAAGGCAGTCCTACAATCTATCATTAAGACATATATTTTCATATTTGAGTACACTAATATTAGATCACATAAATGCCATGTAGTAAACAGAATGAAGAACCCTCACAAGAACAAATGAAACACAAAACTGAAATATTAATTTAATATTGATCCCTGTTAGGTGTCTTCTTTCTGCATGTTTTAACCATAGACTGTATATATAACTCGTAGTTCAATTTGTGTTTGGGTTCACACAGATGTCCAGATGGCTGGTTTCCATGACAACACTTTTTGCAGACGCCACCTTTTATCCTTTTGAGGAGGTTTGCACTTGAGTGTCAAGAGTGCTCTCCTGCCTGCACATATTGATCCGGCAGACATTCCTTATTCTTTATGTGCAAACTGAGGAGCTGTAATTGTTTTTATTTAAATGAGGAGCAGCTTACTAGCATTTCTTCAGTCTGTCCTTGAAGCTTAAAGGATGGAAATGTCAATTACATTTGTATTGTGCTTTTTTAAGTTTTTAAAAAGATATCCTATAAGGAAATGGATATTTGCTTCTCTGGATATATTTTTTGATTTAGAAACAAAGAATAAGGAATGGCATCAGCAAAAGATGGAAACTAAGAGACTGGCTGCTTTTCTGTTCTCACAACTGTACAACTATAGAGTGAGAATTTCAAAGAGAGTGAGTAGAGACCTCACTTCAAAGTCTGACGATATGATCTTTGATCAGCATCTCTGGAGATATTTGCTGAGTGGCATACAAGGGGAAGGACCAAATTGCTTTATAGGTATGGTTCTGTAGCTGGTGTGGCTAAAAATGATTTCTGTGGGTCGGATTTGTTGCTCTATTTTTGGAATAGTGTTCAGCATTACAAAACTCATCTGGGGAATGATTGTGGTTTGGTGG